TGCTTAGTTGAATCTTAAAGAAATATCGAATTAATGATATGAAGGTCTTGGGTTCGACTCCCAGGCCTGAGTCATTTATCGTTTTCTTAGTAATATCTCTTAATAAATTCATATAGGGAATTTTTAAGATATAAATTATGTTACCGGATTTGTTCCCCGGTTGAAATCATCTTTCCAATGATGTAAATTTAAAGGAATATTAAAATAAAGTTAGAGATCGGATTTATTCCCCGGTCGAGATGATCACTTTGTGCATAAGTAGAATTAATGGAAATTGATTGCATAAGTAATGTCTTATATGGGTTTGATATGTTTTGTATGAAAACAAATGCCTATTTGCTATGATTGATTTATGAAAACATTCACTTATATTGTTATCTGATAAGAGATATGATAACTGATAAGAATCTGATTAGAAATAGTTTCCTACAGTTTAAGAATTGTGTAAAAGCATTGATTCACCTTAGTATTGTTGATATTGGTATATATTAGACTTTCCATTTTCACTGATAGTCGATAGCCGTGCAAAAGTTAGTTGTTCAAATAGTGTGAGTTCATAGACGCACGCTAGCCATGTATTTAGGAGGCCAAATATGTAGAAATTTAAATATTTGCAATTTCAGCAATTTATGTAAAAATGAATTGTGAAACATTTCAGATTGATTGTACGTGTAAAAAAAGTGAATTCTGTGTTATTTTTATGTGAAAATTCCTGTGAATAAGTGAAATAATGATAGTTTTGTATAAGAAATTTAAAAGTGTTTTAATAGTGAAATGAATAGGAAAAATGTAAATTAAACTATTGTATTAGTTAAGATATGTATAATTTCAAGTGGAAAACATTGTTTTAACTTTCTATGTTAAATATTTAAGAAATTTCAACTTCGAACGTGTGAGTAAAATAGGCATATTTTGTTAAATAAATAAAAGGTTTTTTGTGATATGAAAATGTAATGTATATCGTAGTATAGATATTTTTTGCGCTATCTATACAAGTAAATTGTGATAATGTATGTCTTATAAAAATTAAGTTATTGAGTAAACCGTGAGAGAGTGATTGAACAAATTCATGTAATAGAGTTGTGCAAGTGCGCGAATGGCGCGGCTCACTTTCGCGTATAGCTCTGGGGTAGCTCAGTAAACGAGTTTTCTTGCAATTCGTTCGGGAATCGTTCGGGAATCGTTCGGGAATCCTTCGGGAATCGTTCGGGAATCGTTCGGAAATCCTTCGGGAAAGTTCGGGAAGTTCGGGAATCCTTCAGGAAAGTTCGGGAATCGTTCGGGGAAGTTTCGGGAAAGTTCGGAGAAACTTCGGGAATCAGACCAGCAGTCAATAAGAAGAAAGAAAAAGTGTAGGGAAGTGATAGGGAAAAGTATTTACTCTCTCACGGAACGTTTTGAAGATAATTGCTGTTTTATTCCCAAGAAATTCATCCCTCAAAATTATACAGTCCACATCGAAGAATTAAGGCGTTGGGACCGGGACGACTTCGGAAGACCCGTAATCCCCGTCTGAACCTATTTGCTGAAAAGGAAGAGGTTATCGCCCTTGTGTGTTTCTACGTTACGGAGATCACATACGTTGTTCCCGAACCCAACGTAGGCGTTATAGGAGGCCGGATCGAGAGAAGCCTCGATTCTTCCCTTCTGTTTCTTAGTTGAACGTTTACACAGCCGTTGGCTCCTTTTCAACGCCTTTCCTTGAGTCTTTACACTGGCGACAAGTGGGCACGCGAATATTATTTAGTGCGTGTAAACTATATACGTGACAAGTAAATTATATGTAAATAGGTACTATGCCGATCGGAAAACTTGAGCCGTTCAACATTCATTCTACACAGTGGCCGGAGTTCATCATCATTCATCATCATCATTACAGCGCTTCACAAGTCCACTGCTGAACATAGGCCTCCCCCAAGTAATGCCACAAAGCACGGTCCTGAGCAACCTGCATCCATTGATTTCCTGCATGTATTACTAGGTCGCCACTCCATCTAGTGGGCGGTCGCCCTACACTACGCCTACCGGTACGAGGCTGCCACTCGATAACCTTTCTTCCCCATCGGTTATCGGTTCTTCGAGCTATATGGCCGGCCCATTGCCACTTCAGCTTACTGAGCCGTTGGGCTATGTCGGTCACTCTGGTTTTACTGCGGATATCCTAATTTCTGAGTCTATCACGCAGAGAAATTCCGAACATAGCCCTCTCCATAGCTCGCTGAGCGACCTTGAGCGTCCTCATACGGGCAGCAGTGAAAGACCACGTCTCAGATCCGTAAGTCATCACTGGCAAAATGCACTGGTTGTTCACTTTAGTTTTCAGAGATTGAGGTATACCTGATGAGAAGATGTCTAATTTCACCGCATCCGTCGATTGACCTCTCGGTCGAAGTTGGACTTACCTAGTCGGACTATTTGTCCCAGGTTAACGTACTCGTCAACAACTTCGAGCATAGTGCTCCCAACAACTACCGGCATAGGTGTGACATGGGCATTAAACATGATCTTTGTTTTGTTTTTCTTTGTTTTTCGCTGGAGGTCATACAGGTTTACGAACCAACCTCGTCACATCCTAATGAGGAGGTGGAAGAAATGTATGAGGATACTTCCAGAGCCATGCATTCCTCTAAAACCCACTGCACGGTGTTGATGGGAGACTTCAACGCGAAACTAGGCACAAGAGAAAACGGTGAGTTGAAGTTAGGGGTCAGCAGCTGGCCGACTTTATGGAGAAAGAGGGACTCTTCATGATGAACTCTTTCTTCCAGAAGCGGCTCCACAGTAACTGGACCTCGTCGAGCCCCGACGGTTTGACAAAAAATGAGATTGACTTCATTATGACGACCAGACGCCAATTATTCAGTGCTGTCTCAGTGATCGCAAGGGTGAAAACTGGCAGCGATCACCAAATGGTTAGAGGCACACTGAACCTACACGTTAAGTTGAAGAGGTCTCGTCTAATGAAGTCAACGCTCCGTCCCCCTCGTGCTTTAATCCAGAATGTCGAAACCTTTCAACTCGAGTTACGTAACCGCTTTCAGTGCCTATAGGATTGCAATGCAGTGGATGATGTGAATGACAAACTCTTGGAAACTGTCTATACGGTCGGAGCTAAGTTCTGCAAGACCCGCCGCAGAAGAACACAAAAACTTTCCGATCACACTATTAATCTCATTGCTCTTAGACGGGAGATGAAGCTGCAGTCGGCAACAGATTTGACAGTATACAGGCAACTGAACAGACAGTTTCTCCAAATGCAGGCGGCGACTTACGCAACTTTAATACTGCTCGTATTAAAGAAGCGATCAAGCGGAACCAGGGCTCCAAAGTCTTTGCCAGAGATCTGTCTGCCAGAAAGAGCCAACTGTCAAAGTTGAAGACTGAATATAGCAGCATTGTTTCCGGGACACCTGAGATTTTGAGCGAGATTGAGAGGTTCTATGGGCAGCTGTACACATCATCGTTGGAGCCACACGCAAATGTGAGTAACGATCCAAGAGCAAGTCTTATTTGTCACTATTCCGATGATATCCCGGACGTCAGTCTGAGCGAGATTCGAATGGCTCTCCAGCACCTTAAAAACGGCAGGGCCCCAGGCGTGGATGGAATTACAGTGGAGCTTCTGAAAGCGGTTGGAACACCGGTACTTGAAGTTCTTCAGAAGCTCTTCAATTTTGTCCTCCATGGTGGCACTACTTCGGAGGCGTGGAGTCGAAGTGCGGTGGTCTTGTTTTTTAAGAAAGGCGACAACGCTCTCTTGAAGAACTAAAGACCGATTTCTCTTCTGAGCCGCGTCTACGTGCTACGTTTTAGGGAGTCATTACGAATCGTCTCGCACGCAGTCTCGATGTCTTCTAGCCTCCCGAACAAGCTGGTTTGCGAAAAGGCTTCAGTACCATAGACCACATACATATCCTGCGGCAGATCGTACAGAAGAGTACAATTTGCCACTTTGCCTGGCGTATGTGAACTATGAGAAAGCTTTTCATTCCGTTGAAATTCGGGAGGTGCTACAGTCCCTTCAGCAGTGCCAAGTTGACTGTTGGTATATCGAAGTACTGAAGTGTTTGTACAGTAGGGCTACGATGGCTATCCGAGTACAGCACCAGAGTTCGAAACCTATCCAACTGCAGAGAGGTGTAAGACATTGCGACGTTATATCCTCGAAACTCTTCACCGCTGCGTTGGAAGACATTTTCAAGCTACTGGACTGGAAAGGATACGGTATTAACATCAATGGAGAGTACATCACTCAACTTCGATTTGCGGACGATATAGTCCTTATGGCAGAATCGCTGGAGGACCTTCGCAGAATGCTCAATGACCTCAATGGTGTCTCCCAACGGATAGGTCTTAAGATGAACATAGACAAGACATGGAGTAGATACGACGGGTAAAACAGTATATTATACTGAACAAAATTAAAGATGAATTGCAAGTACCTCTCTTAATAACTGTGGTTGGTAAGGCAACGTATTCTCTAATGTGTGATTTGTGCTCGTTTGTACATCCCGAATCAAAGACTTTCGAGGATTTGGTGCAATTGTTGACCGAACACTTCGAACCTCAACGGTCGAAATCGCCGAACGACACGTATTTCGGTTGTGCAGACAACAACCAAGCGAGTCGCTTACGGAGTACCTACATAATTTAAAACATCTCACAACCACTTGCAACTTCGGGATGGCACTGGAGGAGAATCTACGAGATCAATTCGTATCCGGCCTAGCGAGTAAAGCGATGCGATCGCGTATATTTGCCGAGAAAAAAAAAGTCTTCTTCTTTCTTTCAATATATTTGTGATCAGTGCGGCCAACGGGGCCACCTTAAAGAAATGTGTAAAAAGGTGTTTAGTGAAGTGCGTAGTGGGTTACGTACCGGAGTTCAATCTTGTGGACGGCCAAATTTGGGGTTGTCTTGAGTTGTACTAAGGCTGTATCGAATCGCTGGCCGCGCAGCAGCGCTCTTCTCAGGCAGGGCTGCGCGGGCGCTTGGATGCGATGCGCATGGACATGGCGAACGTCGCGCGTGCCGCGCAGCAGTGCCAGGCGGCTGCGCGGCCGCTTGGACGTGATGCGCTCGGACGTGGCGTGCGTCGAGCGCGCCGCGCTGCAGCACCAGGCGGCTGCGCGGACGCTTGGTCGCGATGCGCCTGGACATGGCGAACGTCGCGCGCGCCGCGCAGCAGCGCCTGGCAGCTGCGTGGGCGCTTGGACGCGATGCGCCCAGACGTGGCGAGCGTCGCGCGCGCCACTCAGCAGCGCCAAGCGGCTGTACGAGTGCTTGGACGCGGTGCGAGAAAAGTGGGCCGAGGGTAAAGTCGTGTGTAAAACGGGCCCAGTCTCATATAAGGTGAACATTGGAAAGGGGATTGAATTACGTACGGATCAAGTAACTTCAATAAAAAATAAAAATAGAAATTCCTTAACGGGCACAAGTCTGACGTCAAGGGAGGAGGAAACACAGGGTGAAGATAGAAATGGTAATTAAACTAATGTAATCTGTAGCGATGACGATGGGGCTTGTTTCGAAGACGCGTAAGACGCGTCAGGTGGGCCGACAGCAACGAGGACACACCCACCGAATGTATTGGATGTAACCTCGTATGAGTCAGCGCCCTTCTTGGAACCTATATAGTCCCCGACACTGACGCCGCCCAGGCCCTACTCGTAGGGTCGTCTAGATTTGAAGGGGGAAAATGTGGAAACTGTAATAACACGTTTGGAAAATAAATCAGTCAGCCGCGCAGTCCTGTGTTCTATTAACGCCTTTCCTTGAGTTTTTACAAAAGCAAATAGCCCCTCTAGATTACTTGCTGGTTCTTCCCAGGACAGAAGTTTTTTGCAGTACCAGAGGTACATGAAAAGAAAGTGACTTTAAATAAGTATTATTTACTATCCACATTGAATAAAAGAGTTTCTGTTTCTGTTTCTGCACGAATGGATTGGCTCTACCGAGGTTACACTATATAGTTTTGCGTTGAAAATATGGACAGATAGTCGTAGCACGAATGGGTCGGCTCTACCGGGGAAGAACCACGCTCTCACAGAGAAATAGAGTTTATAAAATTTCGTTTTTATTGAACATAGTTAAAACGAACAAAATAAAATATAATTTGTCGAAAAGTTAGTTTTGCCATTTACCGACAGATCCCTAATACGTGGTAGAGCCATGCTGCAGTTATATAGTATGGATGTAGCATTGTTTCAATATCAGCGTGTAGGGGTGAGTGTAGAGAACCAGAGACCCTTTTTACTGGAAACGAGGTATTCCATCTTAGTCCTTACAGGTGACAACGCATCTGCATTTTGATTCGTAATCGAGGATAGATGTAGATGTCTATGGGCCACAGCAATCCCTTACCATCAGGTGGACTGTGTGCTAGTTTGTTACCCTATCCTATAAAAAGACACAAATCATAATATAGTCCGTTTTAACTTGACTAACAACATTACGTAATATTTATTAGCTGATCTTAGTTCCTAAGTTTTGTGAAAAAAAAATATTTTATTTATTTATTAATTTATCTTAATAATTGTGTTAACTAGCTTAACTAGTTGACCTATGTAGTTGACCTGTTGTCCTGCACTAGAAGGGTTGTTGGTAAATAAAACGATCCGCAACAGTGTATGATCTAATTTGGTCTATATATTTTAACTATATTTTCAGTGCGTTTTATAATAAAAATTGACATAACAACGTCAACGTCATTTCTCAAATAAAAAACCGGCCAAGAGCGTGTCGGGCCACGCTCAGTGTAGGGTTCCGTAGTTTCCCGTCCGTCACAATAAGTGTTCCCACTTATGAGTTTAAAGGTGGGTATCCATTATGTTCGCGCTCCAGCAGCCGCTCCGCGCTCCTGCAACTGCTCCCGGTAGTGGGTACGTGCGCGAACATGGAGCGTGCAACATTGCACGCTCCGCGACAGGCGATGCCAAGAAGAGATCAACCGAACAATTCGATAATACCCGACCCAATGTAATAAGTACCTACAGCGCCATCTCTCGGGGAATTGGGTTACTAATTAATACATAGACGTGCCAGAAGTTTTCGGTGGTAATTTTGGATAATTTTTTTAATAATTCTTTTTTTGTTTGAAAAAAGATACGTTCAGGATAATAAAATATGTAAACGAAGTTAAAAAAATGCCTGCTTAAACGATTATACTACAAACTTAGTCCAGAAATTATTTTGTACAACTTTTTGTCTTTTTTGTACAAAAACTGTTTCCATCCAGGTTCAAAATAATTTTCCTAGAAAGTCCTTATAAAGTTCTACCTTTCAGATTTTTTTCATATTTTCTAAACCTATGGTTCAAAAGTTAGAGGGGGGGGGACACATTGTTTTTTACTTTTGGAGCGATTATTTCTGAAATTATTGACATTATCAAAAAATGATTTTAGTAAACCCCTATTCATTTTTAAATACCTTTCCAACAATATATCACACGTAAGGGTTGAAATTAAAAAAAATCACTTCCCACTTTACATATAGGGGGGCTACCCTAATAAAACATTTTTTTCCAATTTTTATTTTACCACTTTGTCGGCGTGATTGATACACATATTGGTACCAAATTTCAGCTTTCTAGTGCTAACGGTCACAGAGATTAAGCGAGGACGGACAGACGGACAGACAGACATGGCGAAACTATAAGGGTTCCTAGTTGACTACGGAACCCTAAAAAAAGAACTAAATCTTTTTTTAAAATTCAAAAATATGTTTTCTTCATAAATTTGGAATATACTGGCGTATAAGTATATATATATATATCATAAACATACCGCCCACCAAGGACATTCAGTGACGGAATGGCCTTCAAAAAAACTTAACTAAATGTCCTTCTAAATTGTACTTACTCTAAAATTTGCACTGAGTACTTAATAACAAATTATTTATAAACTAAGAGGTAGTAATTCTAAACTTATCTAATACATGTTATCGTAAATGGAAAAGTAGGTGAACATTTAATATAATAATATTTTACATAAATTTGACATAAAAAGTAAACAATTCATGGATCTGCTATAGGTAAAATAGATAATTTTGATGTTGGCCTTTTAATAGCTGATGTTTTCGTGCGCAATGTGACCACACGGGTAACGTTATCATCACCGGGGTGTCTCTCTATAACTCGACCCAATAAACAACGACTTGGCGGCAAATCATCTTCTTTAATCAAAACAATGTCCCCAATGATAGGTTCCGGAACTTGTGACGCCCATTTGTACCTATTCATTAGCTTTGACAAATACTCCTGGGACCATCGTTTCCAAAAAGACTGTAGCATCCTTTGCACAAATTGCCACCTAGTTAAATAGCCTACGCTTGAACCTTTGTAGTCCTTATCTGGTACATTAACTATCGGTTCTCCTATTAAGAAATGTCCAGGAGTTAAAGGCAGGGTCTCACCAGGATCTGTAAAGTTGATGACGCTTATTGGCCTCGAATTTAGACAAGCTTCCACTTGATTGAGGAATGTGGTCATTTCTTCATACCTGAGGGCAGAGTCACCGATAACTCTTTTAATGTGAAACTTGGTGGATTTTATACCCGCTTCCCAAAGACCACCGAAATTAGGAGCATGCGGCGGAATAAAATGCCATTGGGTGTTGTTTGCTTCCAGATATTCTGCTATGGCTGGCTGAATAGATGCTAACTGTTGCAATTCTTTGGAGGCACCTACAAAATTGGAGGCGTTGTCGCTCCACAATTTAGCGCAGTGACCTCTTCGTGATACAAATCGTCGAAAAGCAGCTAAAAATGCTTGTGTACTCATGTCACTTACGCCCTCTAAGTGAACAGCGCGAGTGGACATGCAAACGAAAAGGCATATGTAGCCCTTATAAGAACGATACCCACGTCCTTTGGTCGCTCTTATACTACAGGTCCAGCATAATACACTCCACTATATAAAAATGGTCTTGCTGGTGTACATCGAACCGATGGAAGATCACCCATCAGTTGATTTTTGATAGTAGCTCTCTGTTTTGCACAAGTTACACATTTGCGAACATATTGTTGAACTAGAGACCTAGCACCTATTATCCAATAGCCTGACCTTAAATAATTTGCCATTAACTGAGGACCACCATGCAGTATTTTCTCATGCGCATCTGCGACTAAAAGATGAGTCAAATGACTTGAATGTGGTAGGACTATCGGATTTTTTACTTGGTCATCTAGTTCTGACTTCTCAAGTCGTCCACGAATTTGCATGATACCATTTTTATCGAGAAAAGGACGGAGTCAAATTAGTTTACTTGTTTTTAAATTCAAAAACCCTTTTTCCTTTAATTGTTGGTATTCTATTGTGAATGAATCCATTTGTGTTTTCATTATACAAGTTTGTAATGCTGCTTCTATTTCGTGATCTTTCAAATATTTACTGTCGTGTTTTTCCCGTTTTAAAATTCTAAGACAATACGCAATAACTCTTACTAATTTTCGCAGACTAGAATAATTTTCGAAAAACACATGCTCTGAAACTACAGTTGTGTGCGCCTTTATAGTTTGTTCTAAATTTGTTTTTAAATCCTTTGGCCTCTTGTACTCAATTAATTTGTTTTTCAGAAATGATGGTCCTGAAAACCATAACTCATTACCGACTAATAAACTGGGTAGTATTCCCCTTGAGGCGCAGTCAGCTGGGTTCTATTTGGTCGGCACATGAAACCATTGTGACGAATTCAAAGCGCCCAAAATTTTCGAGGTCCTGTTGGCTACGAATGTTTTCCACCTGCTAGGGTGAATGTTAAGCCACGATAGTACTACTGTAGAATCAGTCCATGCAAAGATCTTTTCCTTTGAAATATTTAAAACCTCTGATGTCTCTGTCAATAACTTAGATAAAAGTAAAGCACCACATAACTCCAATCGAGGAATACTAATTTGTTTGATGGGAGCTACTCTTGTTTTAGCCACTAACAACGACAGATGAATTTTGCCTGAGACATCAATTATTCTTAAGTAAACGACGGCTGAGTACGCTGCTTTAGAGGCGTCAATAAAACCGTGCAATTCAAGGTCATCTGATGAACTTGTACCAAGCCAACGAGGTACCTGAACTTGGGTGAGTAATGACAACCCTTCGCGGTAAGTACTCCACTCTGATATTAAATTGGTAGTTAATTCTTCATCCCAACTTACACCTGCGAGCCATAATTTTTGTATGAATATCTTTGCTAATTCCACAGTAGGAGCTAATCATCCTAATGGGTCGAACAAACGAGCTATATCCGATATTATTAGTCTTTTTGTTACAGGTGCGGTCGTCAGCGGTGTAAGATTTACCGAGTACTGAAAGGAGTCTTCGTGG